TGGCGCTGGCGCTCGTCGAGTCGCGCTGCGTGCGCTTCGGCAGCTTCACGCTGAAGTCCGGCAAGACATCGCCCATCTACCTCGACCTGCGCCGGCTGGTGACGCATCCGCAGATTCTGCGCATGGTGGCCCGCGAGTACGCCAAGTTGCTGCGCAACGTGAAGGCTGACCGCATCGTCGGCCTGCCGTACGCGGCGCTGCCCATCGCAACGGCGATCTCGCTCGAGATGAACATCCCGCTTATTTACCCGCGCCGTGAGGCGAAAGCGTACGGCACGATGGCCGCGATTGAGGGCGACTACAAAAAGGGCGACCGCGTCGTCATCATCGACGATCTCGTCACAACAGGCGAGACAAAGGTGGAGGCGATTGAGAAGCTCAAAGCGGCGGGGCTGGAGATTGTCTCGATCGTCGTGCTCATTGACCGCGAGATGGGCGCGAAGAAGTTCCTCGGCAAGCTTGGCTACGAGTTTGAGGCAGTCGTCACGCTGTCGCAACTTCTGCCGCTGTGGCGCCAGTCGGGCTCCATCACGCACCAGCAGATGATCGACGTGCAGACGTTCATGGAGGAAACGAGCAGCAAGCTTTGAGCCGTCTGGAAACGGAGCAAGACCTGAGTGGTGCATGGCAAAGGGAAAGCAAATAAATGTGCACGGTAATCCCCCCTCTCGCCCCGCTCTGCGTGGGTGGGTGGGTGCGTGCGGTGCGTACCAACAAGAAAAAAGGAGCACCCCACTCACACATTCACGCAGAGCGAACGTGAGAGAGGGGACGGTGAAAACATTTCGAGTCGATTATATATCTCCCCAGTGGTCCAGTGGACGGTCCTTCTCGTGGAGAGGTAAGCTTAACAGAACGTGGACCAGGCTAAGAAGGCGAGAGGCAATGAGAGAGAAGGGTTGGTGGGCCAATTGTGTGCGTGTGACGCCTGTGCAGCTGCTGCACCTGCCAACACACAGAGATCCACACAGTCAGACCCACAGACAAGAGGTGCTTGCATGGGGCTATGAGGAAGGAGAACACGAAGCAAGAGGAAACAAAAAAAAAAAAACCCAAGCGGAGACAATCTGCGAGTTATTTTTCTTTTGTTTGTTCGGTGTGTTGCTTCCATTGTTAGATTCCCTGTGTGTCTGTGTGCCTGACTCTCTGTACCCATCTATACATATATATATATATATACACACATATCCATACATATACCGCTCTGTGCGTGCGTGTAACTGCGTGATGACGACAGCAACGAGCCGGAGAAGGAACGGAGCGGTCTGGTCTTTGCACCCCCCCCCCNCCCCCCCCCTCTCTCTCTCTCTCTGCCTCCCCCTGCTGCTCCACCACACCACCACCCACTAACAGGGATAAACATCCACATCCACACACACCCACAGTGAGAGTGCGAGTTCTAAAGCAGAAGCCATGTCTGGTCTTCAGCCTGTTGCAAGCCTTAAGGGCAAAAGTGTCACGAGCGCCGCGCAGTTCACGCGCGCCGACATCGACGCGCTGATTCAGCTCGCCGGCGCCATGCAGCGCAGGGTCGACAGCGGCGAGGTGCTGAGCCTTTTACAAGGCCGCATCATGACGCCGCTCTTCTTCGAGGACTCCTCCCGCACGTTCAGCTCTTTCTGCGCCGCCATGCTGCGGCTCGGCGGCAGCGTGGTGAACTTCAAGGTGGAGACGTCGTCCGTCAGCAAGGGCGAGACGCTCGCCGACACGGTGCGGACGCTCGACGCGTACAGCGACGTGCTGGTGATGCGGCACCCACGGCAGGAGGCGATCGACGAGGCGCTGGCGGCCGCAACGCACCCCGTCATGAACGCCGGCAACGGCGCCGGTGAGCACCCGACGCAGGCGCTGCTCGACACGCTCACGATCCACGCGGAGCTCGGCCGCGTCGACGGCATCACCATCGCACTCATCGGCGACCTCAAGATGGGCCGGACGGTGCACTCGCTGCTGAAGCTGCTCGTGCGCAACTTCGCCATCAACACGGTCTTCCTCGTCGCCCCCGACGCGCTGCAGATGCCGCAGGACGTGCTGGACTCGCTGCAGCACGAGATCGCCGCGAAGGGCGTGCGGCTCCACCGTGTCGCGGCGCTCACGGAGGAGGTGATGCGGCAGAGCGACGTGCTGTACGCCACACGCCTGCAGAAGGAGCGCTTCGTCGCGTCGGCGAACAGCACCGACGCGGCGGCGCTGGAGTCGTTCGAGGCGGCCAAGGCGGACATCACCATCAACGCCGCTCGGATGCGGATGGCGAAGGAGAAGATGATCGTGATGCACCCGCTGCCGCGCAACGACGAGCTCAGCACAGATCTCGACGCCGACCCGCGCGCCGCCTACTTTAGGCAGATGCGCTACGGGCTGTTTATGCGCATGGCCATCCTCTGGAGCGTTCTGGCGTGAAGGTAAAGAGAAGGGTGTGGGGGTGTGTGGGGGGGAGTGATCAGCAACCGCAATAATTCCTCTTGTTTTAAAGAGAGGATGGTGAAAGTTTCAGCGTTAAGCAAACAAAAACAACAACAAAAAAGGAGGGGGGAATTGAATAACGTCTAAGAATTGTGCCGGGCGCGTACAGTTTTGACGTATGGCTCGTGTAACAGAGTAGCAGTGAAGGGGGTGAAGTAATGCACCGGCTGATTTGACAGCAGTCGACTTGTATTGCTGCGGCCATTGTGGTGGCTCTGCTGCGGCTTCACTGGGCTCCCTTTTTCCCCGTCTCTCTCTCTCACACTCCAGTGACGGAAGCTATATTTGAGCGTGATGGCGGCACGTCATGTGTTGTGCGTGTGTGTCCTCGCCCTGTGCTGTGCGTCGCTGTGCGTGGCGGCTGGTGGGACGACGGGGGAAACGTCTTGTAATGGCACGGAGCCCACGGAAGGCCAGGGGTGCGAAAACACTGCTGAGGCCAATGATGCTGACGAGGAGTCGCGTCAAGGGTCAGGACCGAAACCACAAGACCAGAATGTGCAGACAGACGGGGCTGCGGTCGGGGATACTGACGAACAAGAGTGTGCGAAGAAACTGCCTCCTGAAGATAAAACGTGCATTAAGTCTCTTTCCAGCAAGACTCAACAAAACCAACTGCAGGCAGCCAGCAGTTCCCACGGCATGCAGGGGGTGCCTGATAACCTCTCAGATGAAGATCCGTTGAGGGGTACTAAAGAAGGAAAGGACCCAATTATATGCACTGAAGATCAGGAAGAGCAAACAGCTGCTTCGGGGACGAAAACTTGTGTCGCCAAAGATCCAACGAAGGATGCTGCACAAAAACACACGAAATCTGATCATGACAACGACGTGAAGTCCCCTACTGAACACGGCTCTCCGCCTGACCCTGAGAAGCAGCACAGCGTGTCCGGCAGCACGCCTGGGGCTCTGGGCCCCCCACCAGCAGGGCACGGGGGTGCTGGCACTGGGCAGTCGGCCGGCAGACCCGGCGGTGAGGGATCTGCGGCTGCTTCCTCCCCAGCGGCGGTGGGGACTCCACACAGCCCAGCGAGTGGCGGCGACGCCCAGCCAGAATCCTCATCGAACAGTGCAGCGGTAACTGGGGGGGATGTCGCTGCCGCCAAAGAAGAATCCCCAAAAGAGGAGTCTGGCACCGCCCAAGTCCCGTCTACCACAACGAGCCCCGGAGCTTCTGCTGCCGGAGACAAACAGCACGAAGCGGATGCCTCCACGGCCGCCAAACCAGACGCGACCACCGCCACGATGGCTGTTGCTCCTCTGCTGGTGGCGGCGCTGGCCAGCATTGCTGTGCTCTGAGCGGTGTGGTGAGAGAACACGCAGGACCCCCTAATTTGTAATTGTGTGCGTCCCTTGTGGCCGCCGGAACCCACATGTTGCGGTTCCTTTCTTTCTTTCTTTCTTTCTTGCTGCCCCGTTGCGGGCTCTGCGCCGCCTCCTCGGTCTTCCACGGGTGTGTGCGTGATGTTCCGCCACCTGTGTGCGCTGGGGTGGCGGACGCCGCACTCCCTCTCGTTGTTTGGGGTCGTTGGGCTTGTTGTTTCAGAGCGGTGCGCGCCCCGTCCGCACCAGCCCTCTTTAAGTGATATCTCTTGCTTGGTGCAGCGCTGCGCACATGGATGATTTGCTGCTGTGTTGTGCCTGCTGCCCCTCCCCTCCGTGTGTGTGTGTGTGTTGCGTGTCTTCCAGCTGTGTGCCCGTTCTCTCTGACCCCCAGCCACGCAAGCTGTACTGACGAAGGTGAAGATGGTCCGCTGTGTGCTGTGCGTGCTGGTCCTCGCACTGTGTTGCTGCACAGCCCTGTGCGTGAGTGCTGCTGTTGCTGCTGATAAGAGTGTGGCACTCAATAAAGCAGCGGCACTAGCAGCGGATGCTGTGGGGGAAGCGGAGAAGGCGGTGGAGAAAGCGAAGACTGTGGTGTCACTCGCGTGGCACGCAGCGGACAGGGCTACCGCAGCGGTGACCAACGCCAAAGCCACGGTGACGCTCATTGGGGAGGGCGACCAGATGGCTGTGAAGGCTTCGGAGTACGCTGAAGCGGCAGTGGCGTTGTCGGATGCTGCGGTGAAACTGGCTGTGCAGCCTGCGAAGAGCAGCGAGGCACAGACTTTGTCTGCAGAGCGGGGCTCGCAACGGGCGCGTGTGACGGAATCAGGGTTAAGCTCATCGGAGTCGACAGGAGTAAAAGGTGCTGCGAGTTCCGTTTCTTCGACGAGTACTACGGAGAGTTCGCAATCACGGCAGGACACAGCGGGACCAAAAACCATTGCCACGTCAAGCTCCAATGATGGCCAGCAGTCTACTGAGGTTAGTCAGGCGCGGAGTGCCGTTGTGCAGGGTTCTGGGACTCCTGAAGCTTCAGATCCAAAGTCTGATGGTGAGGTGACGTCCGAAAATAAAGAGGTGCCGGTTGTTCTTGCAGGTACAATTCAAGAACCAAAGGCGACGCAGAATGGTTCTTCGGAAAACATGCAGCAGCCACAGAGTCTTGTGCCGCAACACGAGGAGCTTCAGGCACGAACGATGTCCGCACAAATGTTAGCTGCTGAAGAGAAGGGTACATCAGTGGTGTCACTCGATTCCCGGCAACAAGTTGCCCCTGCGAAGGTGGTTGAGAGTATTCCGGGGGTGGTGAACAAGTCCAGAGGTGCCGTGCAGCTGTTGATGGAAGCTGCGAATAAATTTACAGCGGCGGTTGACATGGCGAGCGGGGCAACCTCCGATGCCATGGAGGCAAAGAACAATGCCAGCAAGGCCGTGGACACAACTACCGAGGCGGCTGCAGCGGCCAGGGAGGCGTCGAGGAAGGCTGCGGAGGTGGCAGAGATCTGCAAGGAGGCCGATGCGAACTGTGCGGATGTGGTGGCTGATGCCACGACAGCAGCTGCAAAGGCCAGCGAGGCGGCCGCCAAAGCTGAGCTTGCCGTGGGGGAGGCCCAGGAGGCTGCGGCGAAGGCGAATGACGCGGCGGAGAAAGCTATGGCTGCAGAGGGCATTTCCAAGGCTGCAGCGGACAAGGTGATGCAGGCAGCGGAGGGCGTTGCTGGTGTGCCGGACTCCCTCAAGAAGGTGCTGGAGAACGCTGAGGCTGTGAAGGAGGCTAAAGGCACGGGTACTACTGTGGAGAAGGCAAAAGAGACTGTGGCTGCTGCTTTTGAGGAAGTACAGCGCGTCAAGAAGTCGGCGGACATTGCGAAGGGAGTTAAGGTGGAGAATGCAAAGGCGGTGGCACTTATTAATGAGGCGCAGAAGCATGCGGAAGCAGCTGTGGAAAAGGCTACGGCAGCAGAGAAGAATGCTGGGCTGATAAGGGACCTTGCTGAAGCCGCTGTGGAGGCTGCTGGAGGTGCGGCTCAACGCACGCAGACATCCGCTGCAGCAGCGCTGGGGAGAGCTGAGGAGGAGGCGCGGCGTGTTTCCGATGGAGCGGCTGCTGCGTCTGGCAAGGGAAACGACAACTGCATTGCTGCGTGGGTGCGTGCACCACTGCTGCTGGTGTTGTTGCTGGGGGCATTGACCCTCTGCTCTGTGTGGTGAGTGGTGTGTGCGCTGGATGGTGTTTCTCAGTTAATTGTTTGCTGCCATGGAGGCTTAATGTATAACTGCTGGGGTTGTGCTGCTTTTAATTTCCTTGCTGCGCCGTAGTGGTCTTTGGGCGGTGGTCCACTTATCCTTGAGGGTATTATCTGTGCTCGATGCCGTCGTGTGAGGCGTGTTTTTATTTCTCTTGCTTGGGCTTTGCCTTGCACCCATGACTGTGTGCTCCTTTTTCGTGGGATCCCTTCGCTTGTCTGGTGGCTTTTTGCGCTGTGCGTCTCTGCCGTACTGCTTGCTGCCGCGCTGTGTGTGTGTGTGTGATCTGCTGGTTCTTTTTGTTTCTGTTCTCTTCTCCCGCAAAGATCTGGGCGATTTGCTTGACGGTTACCGATGGTGCTTCTGCGCCGCGTTGTGTGGGTGCTGGCCGCTGCTCTGTGCTGCACGTCCTTGTGCGTGACGTCTGCTGCGGCGGAGAACGCTGTGCTTCCGCCTGCTGGTACTCGGGAGGCAGCGCAGGCGAAGGTGGCTGCCTGCACTAAAGATCTGTCAAATGCCCAGGCTTTGCTGCAAGGTGCTGAGGAGGCTTATGCCAAAGCTGACGAAGCAAAGAGGGAGGTCGATAATTTCACGGCGAAGGCCACCAAGGCAAAGAAGTCTGCCTCAGAGGCAGAGAGTATGTCAAATGCGGCAGTGAAGAGTATTGCCGAAGGATTGGAGGCGCTGAAGAAGGCTGCTGATGCAGGGACTGAGACAACGGCTGTGGTAACATTGGGTGTCGGTGATCTCAAGGCTGCTGCTGGGGGTGCGCAAACTGCGGCGAATAAGGCCAACAGTGCTGCGGTAAAGGCCTCAGAGGCGGTGAAGTTACTCGAGGAGGCCACGGAGCATGCAAAGAATGTACGGGATCGGGCAGAGAAGCTGGGAGAAGGGATGAAAGCCGAAGTGTGGAAGAACGCAGTGAAGAGCGTCGGAGATGCCTTTAGCCGTGAGGGGGCAAAGACACTAAATGCTGAAGCGGCGCTGAAACTCGCTGTGAAAACAGTGAACAAGAATAAAAAAGGAAACGCTGCAGCAAATCTTTTTTTCAGTGCGCGAATGATGGCAGAGCAGATTGGGCTGGCACTGACGAATATCAAGAGGGCAGAAGCTGATGCGAAGCTTGCAGAAACAAATGCTAAGAATGCCGCAGAGTCTGCCACGGAAGCAGACGAGAAGCCAAAGACGGAGACGTCCCAAGAGGGGACGGCAGCTGTAACCGAAAAGGTAAATAAAGCCGCCACAGATGCAAAGACGAACGCTGAGTCAGCAGAAAAGAATACCGGCGGTACCGCGCAGAGTATTGATAATGCACTGAAGGTAGCGGAGGTGGTGAAAGAACTTACAGAAGAGGCATGGAGCTCCGCTGACGATGCCAAGGACGCGGCTAAGAAAAAGAAGGATGGTGCGGATGCTGCGCTGGTCGAGGCCGAAGAAGAGTTGAAGAAATTCACCAAAGTGGAGAAGCCAGAGTCACAGCTACCCGAGGCGGAGGAACCGCCCACTGACCACAAATCCAGCGAGGCAGAAGCCACTGTACCCCTGCCAACGGACCAACCACCGAAGTCGGAGAAGACTGCTGTTGAGGGGAAAGACCAAACGACAACAACGCCAAACCCCACGGATCTTGTTAAAGGGGATTCCTCAACACCGGAGGGAATGCCCGCTGCGTTAGTGGCTGCGAACAAAGACAGTGCGGCATACGGCAGCGACATCCCCGCGTGGGTGCGTGCCCCACTGCTGCTGCTGCTGCTGCTGGCCTGTGTGGCCGTGTGGTGAGACCTGCGTGTGTGTCTGTGTGTGCGTGGGGCGGTG